ACTGGGCACATCCTTTCCTGTCTATCTTTACATTACGGAAGTGTTTGCAATACTCATTCTAGACCTTCACATGGCTTCTTCCTTCTCATTCAGGTTCCAACTCCACTGTCCCTGACCATCCTTGCTAAAGCAAGATTTAGCATTCCTGACCCCACCCCAACCTCTAATCCACAGTCAAAGTGTTTTCTAGAGCTAGGTGTAGACCCTCTTGAAGATGAAGAATCATCCATTTTTCATGAATAAAGGATGACATCTCTTCCAAGGCTGAGGGACCCTACCTTTCCTCTGCCACCATGGAAGAGGCTGCAGGGTACTGTGCTGGGGAGCCTCCAAAGACATGAAGTTAACAGTCACATTTGCCCCTGAGACTGTTTTACAGACATCATCCTTCTGGCCCTTCCCCCAAGATATTCTGAACTTACTATCACTTCAAGATCCACAGACTCATGCGGAGACCTCATTAAAACTTACTCTTCTGTGTTTTGTTCTGAGGTCCCTCTACTCAGAGAGTGTGGGGGATGGTGATTCAGCCTGAAAATGTGCCAAAGTCTCGAAATCAACTTCCCAGGTGAACCCCTTCTGGATCCTCAGGCTGGGTGCAACTCTTTGGGCCATATCATTACTTTAAGAAGTGCTTCCATAAAACAAGGTAAGTGAGTAAAAACACAAATGTGCCGGAGATTCTAGGACCTCTTTTGATTTTGACAAGGAGATGGTTCACCTCTTTTTTTTTTTCAGTGATTATGTTGGCAACTCTCTCTGATGCCCACAAGCTCCAACCTAACCATACCGAGTGGTCCTAGAGTCAACGTACTGTCATGCCAGGCACACGGGCTTTGGAACCTCACCAACCTGGGCTCGATCCAGTAATCTGTGTAATCTTGAGTGAGTCACTTTATCTCTCTGAACCTTCCAAACGGGACCAATAATATGCACCTTGCAGGGTCGTCACGAGTGTCTAAAGTAGTAATGTAGGTGAAGGCCCTACGTGTGCCCTGGGCTAGAGGGAGTTTTTGCCACTGTTTGATTGCAAGACAGACTGGAGTTGGAAAAGTGCAGTGAACTGGAAGTTGAGATGCCTAAAAAAAATCCCCTGGATCTGCCATGCAACTCAACTACGTGACTCTGGGCAATCAGTTCCCCTCTCTGGTCCTCAATTTCCTCACCTGTAAAACCAAAGGTTGAATAAAAGGATTCTAAGCAGCTCTGACATCCTGAAGATGCCTTGATTGTAAGATCTGAGTCTCTTGACATTTAAGAAGCTGCCAGTTTGTCTTACCTTTGTTCCTTGAAAAAGGACATCTATAACTATCCTATTAGGGATTTAGGTGAGGTTTTGATGGTATCAAAGTGGCATTATAACAAAATCCAGGATTCTTGTCTAATCATTATACTTCGTCTTGTGTTTTCCCCAAGAGAGTATATAACAAGTACATGTGACAAAGGAGAAGTCAAAACATCACTAAGCAAGCTCCCCATATCCCCATGTGGAGCTGTGTCATACTAGAGTCCTAGCTGGGCCTTTCCATCCTCCTCTAACACTCAGTAATAATAATATCATCGCTATAGCTGATTGATTGGATTGTTACTCTGTACCAGGCAACAAACCTTATTTAATTCTCAATAACAACCCTATGATTGTATTATAATGACCTTGCTAACCAGAAAGCAGGCCCTATCAGTCTTTAGAAATCTGACCCAACAGACAGGCAATCTTTCCTCCCTGCTGGGGGTAGCGGGGGCGGGGGAGTCGGGGGAGAAGAGGGAGAGACATGGTGGGGGAGGGACCAGCCCTAGCTCCTAGGCGGTGGCTACAACATGACTATAAGAGCGGGGAGAGAGGTGCATGGAGGGTGGGAAAGGTAGGGGCTAGGGGAAGTCACAGGGTGTAGGATGTTGGAGATTAAGACTAGCTTTGTGAGCTTGTGCTTGGCAGAGGCTCTGTGTCCAGTGCTGGGAATACAGAGATGAACAACAGTCTGGGTGTGTGTGTGAGTGGCAGGGGCAAGCATGGAAGTAGACAGATATCTTTTCAATGCAGCATGACTCTCCAAACAAAAGTTGCATACACAAGACATCAATGTCATATGGAAGGGGGAGCGATGGTCCTGTTTGGTAGCCAGGAAAGCCCTCACAGCTTCCCAGGTAAGGTGGTGACATCTACTCAGTCACCAGACCTGTGGCTCCACCTCCTTTGATCTCCTCTCTAAATTTAATTCTTCCCATCTCTACTCTAGCGGTCTTAGTCCCTCCCACCCTCATCTCTCACCAGTCCCTGCAATAACCGGTCTTCTCCAACCCATCTTCTACAGCAGCAAGATCTTCCTCAAATACAAACATAATCATAGCCCCCTTCCCTCACATCCCTCCGGTTGCCTGGGAATATGGTCCAAGATCCCTTGGCATGACTTTCAAGCCCTCTGGGATCTCGTTTCTGCTTCCCTTTTTAGCGTTAGCCCAAACTCTTCCTCCTCTTTTTCAATCTTCACTTGCCCCCACCATCTAATTTCCTGCCATGGTATCCCAAGTGCTCCTTGCTCTCCCTCACCTCCCAGTCTTTGCAAAGGCTGTTCCTTTTGCCTAGAATTCCTTTCCCCACCCTTCCTCATCTGGCTAATTCCTTCGTGTCCTAGTTGGCATCTCTTTCTCCCAGACCTTCCTGACCTGTCGGGTTGAGTAGGGACCCCTCCTCCATGTTCCCACAGGCTCTGTGCTTGCTTCCCTTTAGTCTTTAACGCACTGCCTCATGATTTCCCGCTGGACTGTTTGTTTGCTCAGACTGAGGGCTCCTTGAGGGAGGGATGGAGGTGTACTCATCTCTGTATCTGCAGAGCCCATTCGGCACCTGGCACCTGGACGGAGAATGGTGCTCACTGTTGTTTGCAGGATGAATGGATGGGTGTTCGGTTCCGGGGCAAGGAGGCGGGGTGGGGTTGGCACAGGACTAGGGACCAGGCTGCGGCAGGGGAATGAATAAGCGCCTTTGGAGAAGTTTGGGTGCTGGGGCTGCAGGAACTTGGCTTTCCTCCTGGGGACTGAGTATGAATCCCTGAGCTCCATCTTAGGCTGCAAAGAGGTAAAGACGGGGTTCTGCCACCTGGAGCCTTCGCCTCTCTTCCCTGCCTAGCGCCAGCCTGCGCTGTCATAGCAACAGTCCGCCCCGGCGGCTGGGCCAACCAATGGCAGCCGGTTCTGGTGAGGTAATGCTCAGCTCTTGTAGCGCATTGGCTCCTCTTTGGCTCACGTCCCGGCCCGGGCTGCGGGAAGAAAGGGCGCGGGGAGCTGTGGGACCGTCGCTGCTTGGGTCGGTTCCGTTAGTCCCTCCGCTGCTTGCGTCCCGCTCGCCCTTCCTCCCTCTCCGTCTGCCCTGAGCATGTCTGCGTCTGCCCTTCTCATCTTTCTGCGCGGCGTTTCTGTCACCGGTTGCCTTGGTCCTTCTCTCTGTGTTTTGTCTCCTTTAGGGTCTCGGTGGCTCCTTCACCCCCTGTCTCTGCCCTGAGTGCATCTCCCCGTCTCTTTGCATCTCGGCTTCCCCGTCCGTTCTCCCTCCGGTCTTGCTGGCGGATGTCTTCTCCAAACAAGGGTGCAGTGAGAGCTCCTTGACTTGCAGCCAGAAGGTGACTCACTGCTTCAGACCGCTAGGCCGGCCTCGCCAGTTCGGGGGCACCTTCTTCCCCAGTTGTTGGAAAGCTCTGGCACCCGGGCTCAGTTCTTGAGACCGTGGTGAGGCCCTGCTGGCCTTTCTCTGATGAACCTCAACAGAAATTTGTCCTAGTTGACATGTCACTCAAAGGAAAGGTGGAACGTTCTAGGCTTTGGGACCAGGGAAGGACATAGAGAAGACTTAAGAAAGAACAGGCATAAATGTCAGTAATTACAGCAGAAGGGTTTAGGCTAGGCTCCTGGAGAAACACCCAGAAAACAAGTGGGTAGGCACTAGAATGAGTGAATGAAGAAGGTAGTTGGACTTCTGTTCTACCCTCTACCTCTTGGTCCATCTATCAAGATAACATATTGGTGTTGCTCAGTGCCAGACTCTGTGCCGGCTTTGGCTCAGCCCCCTGGGCTCCAGGATTTACAGCTCAGTCAGGGAGGCAGACACATAAGTCCTGGGTTTTGATAGGATTTTGGAGGAGGGAAAAACTCACTTTGCCAGATACACGCAGGGCCCAGGCAGAGAAGCTTCATGGAGGAGGTGATCTGTGAGCAGGTGAGTTTGGGAGAATGGCCTATAGCTTGTTTGGATCAACCTGAGTGGGGCAGAAAGGGAGGGGACCAGTCTGGATGGATCCCTGGGGGATAGAGGGTCCAGGAATGTTAATATCTGGATGGGGTGTTTGCACTTCATCCCAGGGACAATGGGCAGTCACTCGAGAGATCTGAACAGGAGAGAGGCGGGGTCAGATATGGGTTTCCTTCAACCATCCTGGCAACTGGGGTTGTGTCTGTCTTGCTCAACCCTGAGCACACAGCAGAGTGCCAGCCCACAGTAGGTGCTCCAGCATTTATTGAAGGAAAGCCCAAACTAGAGCGGGAGAGGTTGTCCTGATAGATGATGAAATGATGAGGCTGGCATTTGTGGAGGGGGCTGGAAAAAGTGGATGGGTTCAAGAGATGGAAAAGAGGTGGAATGGATGGCCTTGCTGTCCACTAGAGAGGTGATGGGGAAGGAGGTGCCCAGAGTAACCCCCATGTTCCCGGCTTGAGAGCTGAGGATGGAGAGTGGGAGAGGGAACACAGGTTGGGGCAGATTTCAAGGGAAAGGTGGTCAATTTAGAGTAGGACCTGCAGAGTCTGAGGTGCTTGTGGGATGTCCAGGTGGGGCTGTCTGTGGGAGAGGTCTGGGCTAAGGTGACCAGCATAAAGGTGGCTACTGAGGCCATATAAGGACTAGGACATTTAAGAGCAGATTTTTTCAAGTGAAGGTGTCCTTTAGAACCTCAAAGAGACCTGGCTAAGGGTCAGGGGTCCTGGGTTCTGATCTGGACACTGACACTGGCTTGCTGTGTGACCTTGGGCAAGTCACTCTTCTTCTCTGGGCTGCAGTCCCTTGTTCTGTCAGCAGAGCCTCTCAGAGATGGAGAGAGACTTGGGTTTCTTCTCTTATTAAGGCTTCTGGATGTGGTTTTAAAAAAATGAAGACGTGCCAAAAACTGGGTAACAAAAATGGTGGTTATGTGTTCACGTTTATAAATTAATATTTTGAACAAAGGTACAGGGATTGTGTGTGTGACCTAATATGGAGATGAAAGTCTAGATTAGAGTCATGTTGGGGAGTTAGACCCCTAGTTATGGCCTTCCAGGTTGTCTGGAGTAATTGCCCCTTTTGGTAAGAAAGGTGCCTGGCTTGGGGGGCAGGATCTGAGCAAATGCTGCCTCTTGTTTTAAGCCTGGACATTCACACCCCATCCTCAGTCCCTGCCAGCCCCCAGTTCTGAGTCCTTTCTCCCAGAGCCATCAGAGGCCATGCTGATCCCTTCCCTGTGGGTTTCCACAGGAGGAAAGCCCACTGTTGTGGTTCCTGTACTGCCATCTTCCCTTCCTTGCTCATCTCTCAGGTCCTCAAATTTGAGAGCATCAGCTGGAGTCCGGCCCTGGCTCTGCTTTTGACTTGTCCTTGGGCAGGTCAGTTCCGCCCAGGGTCTCAAAGTCTCAGTGTGTCTGTGTCCTCAGGCAGTAGCTTGGCAACTGGCACAAGGTATGCACTTAATAAATGTTGGTTTAATTGAATTAAATTGCAAAGTAGTTCATTTGGCTGGAGCATGGGTTGGGGGAAGGGTGACAGAGTGAGCGCATGCCGCTGGGGCCATCAGAATGAGAGAATGCCTGCAAATGTGCTTTGGAAAAGGTAAGTCAACAAATATTTACAAGTCTGCATCATATTGCATTTGGCTAATGCGCCTGAAAGGCTTCCAGAGTCACAAGTAGACACAAAAGGAATCCTCTCCTACCCACTGAAAATGTCTTCATTTCATAAGAATTAATCATGAATACATTCTCCTTAGCCCAGTGGTCAAGGGTGTAGACGAAAAAGGAGTCATATACTCAGGGGAGGCCTGTGTGGCAGGCTTTATAAACCGAGTGACCGAAAGAAACCGCAAAGGATGGTCTGAACACAAAAATTCCTAACTAAAAGCAGGTCATGATGGGTAGTCACATCCTCGGCCTGTAGCTTCCTTGACAACCGTCAATCTTTACCTTAAGTGAGCCTGTCTATTGTGTTTTTGCATCTAAGATAACATATCTTTGAAATGCCAGAGTGATCTTTTCCAGACCCCTGGCACCAGAGCGTGAGACCACAGAACCCCTCACTCTTGTTCCTTGCATCCTGGCTGTATGTGCTGTAAATGTTAATTATTAACTATCCTGTACCCACCAATGTAAAAGAAGTATGTATTTCTCTATTTTGCCATTTTAGCCAATCCCAGAGATTTCCTCGCGTTGCTTTTTTCTGCCCCCTTAATCTACCACCAATGGATTTCATGTAACCCGCCTTATGTCTCCTCCTTTTATTCCAATATGTAAAATAAGCTGCAAAACGCCATTCCCCAGGGCGTTTTCTTAATCCATTGAGATTTTGCTTCCTGGCAATTGTCATCAGTTTGGCTCAAATAAACTCATAGAAATTCTCTACAGGTTTGGACATTTCTTACATCGACAAGAGTGAGAATCCCGAGGTGGGCAGCCTGTTTCAAATCCTGCTTTATCACTTTCTGGCTGTTTGACCCTTGACAAGTTACTCGACTTCCTGTGTATCAGTTAGACTCGAATGTATTAATTACAAATGATACTATTATCTACTTCACTGAATTGTTATGAGATTTAATGAATTATTAGACGTAAAGTATTTAGGACAGTGCCTGGAATATGTGAGTGCCCTGGGTTCAAATCATAGCTCTGTCATTTATCTCTGAAGCCACGGGCAAGCCCGTTCTCTCTCCCAGGGCCTCAGTTTTCCCCTCCTTAAAATGGGAAGCACATTACAGAGTGTACACTTCTCTACAGACCTGAGGGGTTATTATTCCTGTCGAAGGGAGATGGTGGCTGTGCTGACATTAATAATCACAGCCTGCACATGCCAGGCCCAGACTGGCTCCCAACCACTGGACACCTGGGCCAGACTCATTTCCAACCTTTTTACAACCAAACTGCTTGTAATGGGGAGGAGGGGCGTGGAAGGGCGCCCACTAGTGTTACCCTTCCAGTGTCTCTCTGCCCCTTCCTGACTCCTGTGAGCTGATGGGCAAGTGTGGGGAAGGCATGGTGTGTGCTCAGTTCAGTTCCCTCTGGGCTTCTGCATCTGCCTGCAGAGGGGCTAGTTCTGGTTGGTTCTCTCATACCAGGTGGCCTCGGTGAGTTAGCTTTGCCTCTTCGGGGAGACCTATGGTTGCTCAGTGCTGCCAGCGACAAGAGGCTAAGTCTATGTAATTTTGGGGTTGGGTATTCACACGCCCGTTTGGCTATAAGTCTAAAGGCCCCTTCTCCAGGCAGCTTTATCTGTCATGTCAAATCACTTCACTGGCTTCCCGTCTCACGTGAGCATAGCCAGCGTCCTCATGATAATCCACGGAAGTGTCACGATCCTGGCCCAGGGCCCCTCCGGCCTCATCCAACTTTACTCCATCGTTTTTCCTTCCTCTCACCTCACTCCAGTCACACTGGCCGTACTGATTCTGGACTACCCAGCCACATTCCTGCCCCAGGGCCCTTGCACATGCTGTTTCTGCAACTTGAAATATTCCCGCAGAGGAACGAACGCATGGCCTTACTACTTCAGATCTTAACTCACTTGGATTTTTAAAACCAGAATGCTTCCAACACTCAATGCTTCATAATCTCCATTTCTGCTTTATTTTTCTCTTTAGCACTTACTGCTAACATACTATTTATTTTATTTATTTACCTTGCTTATTGTGTCGTCCCCACTAGAATGACCACTCCTTGTGACCAAGGATTTTTGTTTGCTCTTTTCATTGCAATATCCCCAGTGCCTAGTGTAAGGCTTGCGCATAATAGGTGCTCAGTAAATATTTGTTGAGGGAATGACTGGAGCTGGAATTCTGTTCTCCATCTGACTGTTACCTGCATGTATCTCCCTGTTGGGTCCAAACTCAGGAGTAGAACTAGGGTGTCATTCTTTGAGCTCTGTCACACCCCAGCTGTGCTCAGATCCATGTGGCTGAGGAGACATAATATAGCAAATACCCAAGACCTTGTGCTCTGCATCCGGGATGCCTGCATTTAAATTCCAGTAGGGACACCCTCTTATCTGTGTTTCTTAACCTCTCTGTGCTTCCATCTCCCCATCTGTAAAGTGGGGATTATAACATGACCTCCCTTATAGGGTTATTGTGAGGATCAGGGAAAAATATAGGGAAAGTGCTCAGCACAGTGCCTGGCATAGAGTAAGTGCTACATCACTGTCAGCTGACATTTATCAGCTTTGTGGCTTAGGAGAGGTGACCACCCACCCTGCCTGATGCTCAGGATGGTTATGGAGGGACACCAGGGAGGCAGGGGATGTGGCCTTACCTAGTGCACTCGCATGTCCAGGATAGAATGTAAAGGCTAAGGGCCAGAGAAGCAAGCCTTGGCCAGGGAACTCAAAGGGAGGTAGCAGATGGATGGTGGTGCTGGGGGCAGTGTGACAATCCATAGTAAGGGCCACCTCAGCAGGAGTTCTGCTGCTCAATCCCAGGAATCTAGGTGATTCTAATGGTAGAGACTGGTACTCAGGTAGACCAGTTGTCTGGATGGTTGATGAGCCTGGGAAGAGCTGCTGCTTCACCTCTCGTCTGCTCCATAAACAGCAGAGAGCCTCACGGCCGGGTCCAGAAGGAATAACTGGGGGAGGAATGGAGTCATGGGGTGGTCTCTGGGACACTGGGCAGTGGCCAGGGATGTCCTTGCACCTTCCTCTGTCAGGTTTGTGCGTCGTGTGTATATGTGTGAGAATTTGTGAGAATGTGGGTACAGTCTCACAATTTATGTGTGTCTGTGTGTCTGCACACATATTAGATTATGTACTGCCAGCCATTTACACACACACACACACACACACAGAGCTCAAAGGCTGGTGCTGTCAGTAAGCTCGAGGGGCATCTATTCTCCTTCACAATGCTTGCTCTCAGGCTGCAAATGTCAGCACCGTGCTGTGTGCCAGACTCTGGGTGTGAGCCTGGGGAAAACCAGGCCTGGTGGGGCTGGAAG